ACTACTACTACTACTACTACTACTACTACTACTACTACTACTACTACTACTACTACTACTACTACTACTACTACTACTACTTCTACTACTACTACTACTACTACTTCTACTACTACTACTACTACTACTACTACTACTACTACTACTACTACTACTACTACTACTACTACTACTACTACTACTACTACTACTACTACTTCTACTACTACTTCTACTACTACTTCTACTACTACTACTACTACTACTACTACTACTACTACTACTACTACTACTACTTCTACTACTACTTCTACTACTACTTCTACTACTACTACTACTACTACTACTACTACTACTACTACTACTACTACTACTACTACTTCTCCTACTACTTCTACTACTACTACTACTACTACTACTACTACTACTACTACTACCTTCACAGCACATCGACTACCGCGTACGACACCAGAACAAACATAGCCAAAAGTCCCCCCTCCTAAGTAGCCAGGATATCCCCAATGCCCTGCTCCAACACATATCTGTAACTGCGTAACGACCATATGCCCACGACGATGAATAGAGTCTACTACCTCCTCCCGAGTTAGTTTATATCTACGAACTTCCTCTGGTAGGTCGTCGCGAAGGACGCTGCCACTAGTGTCAACTCCGCCCCACATAGCGTCCATCTGATCCATAAGCAAGAACTCAATATGATCATTATCATTGCGTTCACTACGATTATCCATGGCAGTGTGGTAAAACATGCACATGGTCAACCACATGTGTTGGTGACAATATTAAAATTCTGGGAGGAAATTTTTGGAAATTCTGGTTGATTCCTGTACAATCCTCCTCTACTTTGTATATAAACTCCCATAATCAGTGAGGAAACTCCTAAGGTCCGCTGAGGGAAGCGAACATATATTACAACCCTGTTATCCACTGTAGAGATGACTGTTTCAAGAAACCACATCGGTGAATATACGGTTGGTGATCTCAACGAGTAAGATCCCAATTCGGGATGAAGATGATGATGACCAATCTACGTCACTATGTAACAGTGCTGTAAAACATGCTCGCT